CGGGGCGCACGCCGGGGCGGGGCCGGGGCGGGGCCTCCGGGAGGCTGCGGGCTAACGGCGCGGCCGGCTACAAAGGACCGGGAGGCGGGGACCGCGACTGGGGCGGGGAGGGACGGTGACGCGCCGGAGCCGCAGCGCGGAGGGCGGGCCGCAGCACCGCAGTGCCCTCGCCGCACCCCCACTCCCCGCCCCCAGGCGGAGCGCAGGGCGCCAGGAGAGCGCGGGCCGGGAGCGGTGTGCGTACACCCGCACGCCCACATGCTCCGGAGGCACACGCGGGTTCATACCGGCACGCCAATTACACCAAACACGAGAGATACACAGACATGCTGACACGCACACGAGTCAATTACACACGCTCTCCCGAGATACACAGGGGCTGGTTCATGCACACCATACTCAATGTTGTACACACATACACGCACACATGCTTGTGCACATTCCGCGTTCATTACACACACACCAGAAAATCTCATTGTCTTACAACTGCACTCACACACAGCATCACACCAAGATTAACTGCACGACTGAAGAGGCACATGCACTGGACACACCGTACATTCCCTCAGCATTATTTTACTGAGCGCCCACTAGTGCCTGGCACTGTTGTAGAAGCTGGGAACAGAGCCATGGACGAAACAGACCAAGTGCCTGCCTTCCAGGAGCTGACCTTCTAAAGAGAGGAGGAGGAGGTGAGAAAAGCACCCGCATGGTGGGCCCAGGGGTGGTAAGGGTCAGGAAGGGTGGTGCAGCAGCCAAGAGGGACATGCTAGAGGCATACTCCCACAGACACGCAAGAGAAGTACATTTTTGCATGGGAACCAGTGACACACACATACACGTGCACTCCAGTGACACCACACGACACACCAATATCAAAGGCAAACTCAAGGTGAATCCACACGTGCATCGTAAACTGACAACAGGATGCCCACACACTAGTCCGCACCAGGGATAAGGGAGTCAAAAGCTTAAATGAAAACGCTCCAGAGAAAGACGCCCAGAGACACAGATGACCACACACACAGCTGGCAGTCAACCAGACAGATCTCCCCCAATTCGAGGGGCACAGTCTGCTTTTGTTGCTCCTGGAGCTTGTAGCCTGGGCATTCTGGGATTCCTCTGATGTGGGGGTCGCTCTGCTGGGGCTCTCTTCTGAGGCCAGGCACCACCCGCCTCCTATGGACACTTTCCCTTATTTCTCAAGATTATCAGGCAGAGGACCCTAGAAGTCCCTGGAGACTTTGCAGTCCCAGCTGCACTTTCTGGAGAGGCAGGATCCCAGCTGCCGACCCTTCCTCAGGCGAGTCCAGACAAGCAAAGTCAGGACTGGATGGGGACTGCAGAGGGGAGCACCAGTACTTCTTGCAATGTCCCATGCTGGAAGCTGTCCTTTCAACTCCAGGCTCTGCCAGCTGCAAGCCAGAGCTCCCACAGTGTGGCCAAGCTCCAAGAACGCCAGACAGACAGATGGATTCATGTTCTTGTTGTCTGACTCTCCAGCCCCATGGACTGAGGATTCTGGGGCATTGGATCCATGGCCTCAGCAGAACCTCCCTGAACATGCTGTCTTTCAACCCTGAAACAAGGGGTATTGTCACCTGTCCTCTCTTGGAAGAGGAAACAGGAGGGGAGACATGAAATGGCTCTCTCAGGGCCTCAACCTCAAGGAGGCTCAGCCAGGCCTGGAGCGTGGGCTCATTCACTTAGCAAGCATTTTCTGTGCTTGAGAGAGAGACTAGTGTGGGGACACAGATGAGTATTTCTAAATCTCTGCCTTCAACAAGTTTGCACTCTAATGGGGAAAAGAGTGCTGACTGTGAGAACAGAAAGTCCCCCACACACCCTCCATCTGCCTCCACCCTTTACAGCCGCATCCTGGATGCTCTCTCCTTGTGTCCCTGAGCCTGCTGTGCAGATTTGCCACAGAAATTCCTCTTGAGGTCTGTAGGCCTCTGGGTTATCTTGCAAGTGTTTTCAATTTTTGAATGAAAATGTTTCTCTGTCCTATGAAATACTATTTCCTAGCCTGTTCCAGGCAAGGACATTTCATGTTAAAGACCACCTGGAAACTTCTTCTAAAACCCCGCAAATGTTTAGGGTGACAGAACCCAGAGAAATATCAGAAAACTCAAGAATCTGAGTTAGATAGAACTTTGGAGGCCAGGCCTCCTCCTGCATGCTCAGATCTGCTCTCAGCAGCTCGAGGACACAGTCTCTCAGGCTTTACTGGTGGCGATGGAAATCTTACTGCTTTTAAAGAAAACCCTTTCCATTGTGAGAAAGGGCTGGGCAGTTGCCAAGACAAGAGAGAGTGACACCAGGAAGGAGCTGAGAAAGGGCTGTTTTTATGCAGAAACAAGAAAGGATCTTTGTAGCTTCTGCGTATAGAATGTTTACCACGTGCCCGGACCGTTGTAGGCACCTAACAGATAGTAACTCTTTTATACCTCACATCAACCTTGGAAGTACCATTTTAGCCTCATTTTGCAGATGAGGACACTGAGGTTTGGAGACACAAGTAATCTGTTCAGGGTCACAGCTGGTAAGTGAGACTTCCAGGTATAAACAGAGTAGTCTGGTGCCACATTGAAACAACTATTCTTTCCTCTCTCCAAGAGCCTATCTGAGGCGGTTCCACTGGGAAAGGAGAGATAAAGGGACCTGGCTCAGGTAGAAGAGTCTAGGAGGTTGAGTTAGAATCCTCTTTTCTATGCAGTCTTGGGCAACTAATCATTCAACATTCATCTAACACACCTTTGGGGCACCCACTGTGTGTCACTGACTTTATATCACTTCCCCCGACTCTTCTCTCCCTCTGCAGAGGAGGGGACCTGGAACTCCTAGGGCTGCCTACTGTGCATAAGGGTCTTTGCACACACGGTTCATTTCTGTGCATCATGTTCTGCTCTACACACTGCCGGCTCCCTCGGTCGCTCCATGCGGCAGACCAGGCCACCTTCTTCTTTTTTTTTTTAGAGGGAAAAAGAGAAAAAGAAGGGGAAAAAAAGAAAAAGAGGGAAAAAGGAATATTACTTCATTCCTAAAATGGGTTTCAATAATGGCCGATCAATATTTTGAGTGTTTAAAGTGGTTAATGCATATTTTATGTGTTTAAAATGGAGACCTCTATTGTGTTTATTTGTTCTGGCTCTGAGTTCAAGTCCTGGATATCGTTATCAATTTTCTGTCTCGTTGTATCTAAATCTCATTATGGGTCTTATGTATCTGGGTGTTAAGGTCTCTTATAATTACATTAATCCTTTTACCCTTGTATCCTTGTAGCTTTGAAATCTATTTTGTCAAATGTGAAAATTGCAACTCCTGCTTTTGATTTATTTATTTTTGCTCTCCATTTGGTTGGTACTTTTTTTTCCAACCCTTTATTTTGAGTCTATGTATATCTTTGGATATACCGTTAGATTTTGTCTGTATCTTTTGATTGGGAGATTTGGTCGATTTAAATTTAGGGTTGCTGCCATTTGCTATTAACTGGCTATTTTGTCCTTTTGTTGATAAAAATTCTTCTTTTTGTTAATGCTCTTTACTTTTTGCCACCTTCATCTTCAAGCTGGAGTACCGAGGATGGCAAACCATAAGCCCACTGCTCAAGTGACCACTGGAAAGTGACTAAGCTGGGATTTCAACTCAGGTTCGTCTGAGTTTTTTCCACACTATCTCATCTCAAGGTCAGTAACCCAAGCACAACAGAGAAAGGGAGGCAGGGACAAAACCCAGGGTATAAGGTCAGAAATGCACCCTCCAGCTTGCAGGGAGACAGCGAGGAGCAATGTCTGCCGGGGACCAACAGAGGCAGCTGGAGAAGCCCGAGCAAACTGCCCCCATCCTAATGACAGCTGTGACCTCCCCCATCCCCCAACCCATCCTCCAACTGCTCCCAGTCCTCCTGGGAGGGAGTTCTTGTAAGTGAATTACACCACGACATTCAGTGAACGACAATCCTTGAGCTCATCCTGTCAGACATGAAGCCTTCTTTCTGGGTGTTGGCAGAGAACAGAAAGGGATGAGTCAGATGGGAAAGGACACAAGGCCAGCTCAGGTCCGAGGTGGATTTTGTTTTGGCAAATTAAAAAAAAAAAAAAAAAGAATCCATCGCAAAAATAATGTTTTCAAAAAGTGAAGGAAAGGGCATTGTAGTTTATCATTAGGTGTGTAGCAATGGATTGCTGTACTCTTCTCAGATGTAAGAAGACATGTTCAGAGAAGTTAAATAAGCTGTTTGGTTATGTGGCCAGCTAGTGACAGAGATGGGGTTCAAATCCAGGCTCATTTAGTTTTTAAATGTCTGCTGTTTTTCTGTGGCCTCCAAATCAGTACAAACCGGGCTGTGGTGGGCAGAAAAATGATGCTCGAAGATACCCACACGTGAATCCCCAGAAGCAGTGCCCATGTCACTCCACATGGCAAGTGGGACTCTGTGGCTGAGCTTAAAGGTCTTAAGGTGTAGAAATGATCCTGGATCACCTGGTGGAGCCAATGTCATCACAAGAGTCCTTTTAAGTGAGAGAGAGGCAGAAGAGTCAGAGTCTGAGAAGGGGAGATTGGAGAACAGAAGCAGATGTCAGAGCAAGAGAGATTTGAAGAAGAAGGAAGGGGCCACGAGCCAAAGAACGTGGGCATCTCTAGGAGCCAGAAAAGGCAAGGAAACAGTTTCTCCCCTGGAACTTCCAGAAGGAAGGCAGCCCTGCCGACATCTTGAGATTTTAGCCTAGGACTCTGACCTTAGGAACTACAGGATAATGAATGTGAGTTGTTCTAAGCCATGAGTTTATGGTCATCTGTCAAAGCAGCAATAGGAAATTGCTACAGCTATATAATGGATTATAAAGGAAATTTTTTCATTATTTGTGCAAAGTGGATTTGAGTACCAAGAAAAGCATTTATTCCCCACCAAAAATCAAGGGAGTCCTAGATCCACTGCCTTTTTGTGTTATGTCAGGGTTGACAACACTATGGAACAACCATCAATAAATAAAACATTCAAAAGGGAAAAAAGTCCCTTTAATTGTGAAAAAGCATACATTTTAATGTACAAAATACACAAATTTTACATTTAACTAACATAGAAAAATACATCTCAGTAACAAGAGAAAATGCCGGCCTGTTTTACACAAATGGAGCGATCATTACACATCCTGAAAACCCAAAGGGAGGGTTGAGCCTGACCCACTACCGGACGGGAATCCAATAAACATCTCCACGAACTGATGGTTTCACATCAGGCGGGCCTCGGGGGACAGACCACTGCTCCAGACCCCGAGGAGGGTCCTGCTGAAGAGCTTCCGGAGGAGGCTCGGGTTGTGTCACTGGACCACTCCCATGTGAAGCGAGGTGGCTCACTCCAGGGAGGGGCAGAACTTGGTCTGCCAACATTCTGAGCCTTGGGTTTATTAATGAGGGTGCATAGGACGCCTCGTAGATCATGCAACCGCAAGGTATAGAGTTATTGTGCATTTGGGATTCGGCGGGCAAGTACACAATTTCTAAACTGGTGTCTGGGCTTCTCAGCTTTCACGTGATCTCTGCCCAGGATTCAACCTGGAAGAACTAAGGAGACCACAGTGGTTCTACCAAGGTGAAATTGCAAGCCTTGCTTATCACTCTGCCAGCAACGCCGACGCCTCTCCCTGCCTTACCTGCAAAAGCTGCTTGTGCAAACCTGAACTGCGGAAGGGACCATCTTATTCCCCCAACTCAGGTTGGTGGCACTGGCCCCAGCCTCCCACCAAAACGTGTCTGTGCAGAGCCCATTTTCAAAGGGGTGAGGGAAGCATCCACTGACATGCTGAGTGCTTTCAGAAGCGTGCTGTCTGTTTAATCCTCACCCCTTCCCACTATTTCCACTGAGGACTTTGAGGCTGAGAGACGTAGGTACCTTCTCCAAGCTTGCACAGTTCATTGGTGGCAGAGCCGCCGTGCGTCTGGGCCCATAACTACTCCCCTACTTCTGTGGGTGCGGACCTTGTCCTTGTCCTTGTCCACTGAAGAGCTAATGCTTAGAACGTCACTGCATAGGTATTTCTTTACCTCCTCACTTTCGGTGTCCTATTTACAAATATTGTATTGTATTACTTTAAAAAGATAATATGAACTCAAAGTTGATACCAAGTTTTCAGCCATTTTTAACAATCCCATTCGTCTCTCTCTTCCCTTGTTCTACCATTACATAAAGGGATCATCAGCCCATGCTTGGACACAGTCGGCTGGTGTTTTCAGAGACGAAAAAAAATGTTGTTGGAAGAAAACTCATTTTTGAGCTATCAGTTCTTCCATTAGTCTTTCCGTGACTCAGTACATGACATTTACACTAAGGATGCCGAGGTCAGACTTGTGTAGGAGCTGAGCTTTCTGAAGCCAGAGTAGGATTTAGGGAAGTTCACATGGGAAAGAGAAAACCCAATCCTTCAATCCCAAGTCCACTGAGTTCTTGAAAGCAGTTTTAGGTACAAGGTACAAATGATCTGCTTTTAGAAAATCCAGTAACACAGAGAAGAAGACTAAATACATTAACCAACTCCAGGGGTCTTTTCTTTCTGTACCACCTTAAGGCACCAGAGAACTTCAAATAGTTTATTTCAAAGCTAGGTAGAAATGCTGTTGGCCATTGGTGTGCATGCCAAAGGCAAATCTACTTGTGTTTGCTTCCTCAACTGGTAAATGTATCGATCATAGAATATCTCTTTTTGGATATTCTGGAGTTTAGGATGCAAACAACTGTACCACCCAAGAGATTCATTGAGTGTGTCTATTGTACCACCCATTTATATTATCTGAACTTTCGTTGAACTGTGCAATGACCAGTCACCAAAAGCTCAGCTCCAGAATCTGCCACGTGGGGCTCAATGCAGTATTACATCATGCATTTCATTTCCCTAAGAATCATCAGCTGTTTAAAAGGTCTTCTGAGGGTAGAGTTGCAAAGCCAACTCATGGTCAAAAATACTCCAAATATGAGACGTTTCATCCTTTCGACTCTGAGGACACATTTCTTTCCTAGCTAGGAGCAAAAATAAATAGGAGTCTAACATAGAAGAAACCCACGGTAGCATTTTAGAATTTAATTAGCACAGGGAATGGGAGAATTGAAAGAGACTATGTGAGTGTATTCCCGTGGTTCTCCCTCACTTGCCCATTAAAATCACTGGGAAGCTTTTCAAAATGATCTCTGCCCAGGGCCCCACCCAAGACAACCTGACCTAAGTGGCCTGGAGACAGGCCTGGGCATCTATTTTTTAAAAGACTCTGCAGGTGAGTCCAACATGCAACCAGGGTGAAGAATCATCACTGCAGAGTGCAGTCTTTATGTCCTTCAAACGACCTGGAAGGGGTAAGTGGCAGGGCCGCAGCCCCTCCTACCCTCGCTGGAATCCCGACCCAGAGCCCTTTCCACCGCATGGCACTGCCTCAATGGAGAAAAAATGGTTGTGTCTAAAATATGTCAGAAATGTCTAGCACCCTATTCTCAGGAGTTGAGTGAATTCTCAAAAGATTTCACATTTCAGACCTGGAATTTAACCCTGGAGTCAAAGGGAAGCTGTGAATTTCTTTAAAAAAGCTCACCAGCCTGAAGGTGAAAAGCCCCTCTCAAGTTTATAAAGGTTTACTCAATAAATTGCTAAGTAAAACAAATAGAAAGGAACTCACCTGTGAAAGGACTTGGGTTTCCTGTTTTCTGCAATGATGGGTAACTAATGTCATATAATAATTTCATTGCAAAGCAATTCATAAACCTCTGATCAGTTTTGATGCTTGATTTCACACTGAGAAACTAGGTAAGGAAGGCTATAAAAGGGTGGATTTAAAGCTTAATCATGTAAGTGTAGTCAAAAAGTAGGTGAGTTTCCGACATATCCTGGGATTCAGGGCTTCCCCAGGGTGAAAAGCAGGCATGAATTCCACACAAAAGGAAATAATTCCTTAAACACATACCTATTGCTAGGTGATGCCATATAGATTGTAGCCCACTAGAAAATTAATTGCATCAGATCAAGACCGAAAATTCGGAAACAGAAGAGCTGGCCCCATGGCACAGTTGGAGAACCCTCCATGATGACATCCGAGCCAGGTTCAGTCCCATCTGCAAACAAGTGGCTTTGTTACTGGACCACAGATGTCCGTTAACCTCTCTGGGAATCAGTTTCCTCACCTGTAAAATGGGGAGGAGAAAGTGGCTCACACTAGAGGAAGTCTAAGACCGTCTCCAGCTCCAACAATGGATGTTTCTGGATCTGTCACCTGAATCACTACCCTGCTGGCTTGCCTGGAAAGGGCAATGGCAGGGCCACTCTGAGCAAACAGCCCACTTTGGTCTGCAGAGCAATCAAGCCACCCTGCCTCAGCGTGTCCCCGCTGCCGCCACACCTCCAACATACCTATTTTAAGAACAGTGCCTAGCAGTTCATGGGGAAACGTTGCCATGCCAACTTGCTGGCTGTTGCTGATCATAATCTATGAATGTGCAGTGAAACCATCTGACAAGCATTTCTTCTCTCCCTTAGCCTGTGGACTTTCTTCCAAATTGTCATATGACGTATCACCTCGTTCATAAGGGCACACAGTAGGTATATAATAAATGTGCATTAAATTAATGACATGAGTAAAGTATACGCACAACACGTAAGTCTGCAAAATGCCTTCCCATCCAGTTTTTCCCTTACTGAGCACAGTAGGTGTCAAGATGGGTATTTTATTACCTCCATTTACCCAGCAAGTAAACTAAGGAGGGCGGGTCGCTTTCCCTGGTCTCGGAGCTGATAAATTGCAGAGCCCAGGTTGCAGCCTAGCTCTTCTGCTCTTAAACCCTAACCTCTTTCTCCTGCGTCAGATGGTCTCTGTCATCTCTCCAGGGGGAAGTCAAAAAACACCGATCCTGTGTAAACATGTAAATCTTAAGAGTTTACAAAGGGCTTTCCATCCATATTCCCATTTCATTCAAAGCCTAAAGGTAAACTAAGCGGGGAGACTCTCTGGGGCCCACACCTGGCCCACAGGGTGCAATGGGATGAACTGTTCACCCCAGGAGTGCTTCACTGGCCTTGCCAGGGACCCTGGAAAGGACTGAGGAGATAACAGAAGCAGCACAGGCGGGTAGGATGACCATGGTGTCTAAAGGTCTGGGACCCAGAACAGGTATGTTCTCTGGGACTGGCAGAGAAGTGGGTGGGGTCCAGAAACACACAGGCAGCAACAGATGAGCCTTTCAGGTAAAGCCAGGGCCCTTGGAAAGTCAGCTCAGAAGAGGCACTTAATGAGTACTCATGGAGCGACTGACCAGACTCATGCAGAAGCCCACCCACCAGGGTGGCACGGTGGTCTACTCTGCTCTCTCCTAGAACCCCAGGGCCTCGTGTGGTGCCTTGCGCTTAGTGGTGCTCAATTAATGTTTGTTCCTTGAATGAGTGAATGAAACCTGGTGACTGACGAACCTCAGTGGGAAGCTGGAAACCATACTTTTCCTTGTTCCTTTTTTTTTTTGGTGGGGGGGGAACATATTTGGAAAACTTGCCATCTTTTTAACCTAGGAAACAGATTTCTGCTCAGAAAGGCAAGAAAGGAATTGGTCTTACTGAGCGTCTACTGTGTGCAAAGCACCTTCCGTTTCTCATTTCCACCTGTGCTATCAGGGAGAGTGATATTTTCCCCACTAAACAATGGAAGAGTTTGCAGATCAGAGAAAAGGGCTCACCTGCCCTGTGCCCTCAGTGGCTAAAATGTCTAGCTTTGGTTTTGAAATCAGGCCAATAGACCCTGAAGCCAGTCACTCCCATGATGTTACGCCTCTGTCTGGGTTGTGTTCTGCAGGAATGGGATTTGGAATCCTTGGATGTGACCTTACTTATTAGAAAGTAGCATTTTTGAAGCCTCTGCTGGGTGCCTAGCCCTCTGCTGGATGCTTTTCCTTCTCTGCCTCAGTTGATCCTAAGACTAGCCCTGTGGGGAAAGGTGTGGCCCCCTCTCCTGTCTCACGGATGAGGAAACAGACCCCCAGACGCTAGGTCGCCTGATGTGGCCTGTGCTTCTAGTAACGCCCCTTCCCATCCCGACTGCATTCAACTGTGAATGCTCATCATCTCCTTCCATCTTCACGTAATCATGAGGCTGCAAGAGAAGGTGCCATTTCTCCCATTTTCCTCCAAAGAGGAAACTTAGGTTCAGAAAGTTGTCCCAGGTCCCTGGGAGAGACAGGTGGCAGAGCTGGGAGTAGAATCAAGGCTTTGCAGTGCCCAGTTGCATGCAGGCCCTTCCTGCATTCCAGCCATTGCATTGCTTTCTGGCCTGAGACCTTGGGGCCCAGCCACCCTTCCTCCCTGGGCCTCCACATTTTCATCCATAACAGAAGGGTGTTGAGCGGATGAAGTGTCACCAAGCCACAGACTGTGGAACCCAGGCAGGTTTTGCAGTGAGTGGAGGGAAAGGAGTCGGGGCCCTGTAGTCCACTGGCTGGGGTGCCTCTCAGTAGGGAAGGGAGCGAGCTGGCTTCATTCACCTCTGACTGTGGCCAGGAAAATAGAGGCCTGATGCTGTCAGATACAGTGAGTTTCTAAGAGAAGCCAGAAATCCAGATTTGTATATGAAATCTCTTGGTTTTTAAATACCACTTGCTAACTCCAATATTAAAAAATGCAACGTAGGAATATATTTGTACACCTGTGTTCGTAGGAGGAATGTTCACAGTAGCCAAAAAGGTAGAAGCCACCCGAAGGTTCATCAATGCGTGAATGATAATCAAAATGTGGTCCATCTGCACACTGGACTATTATTCAGCCTTAAAAAGGACAGAAACTCTGACACATCCTGCCACATGAACCTCGAAAACATTGTGTTAAGTGAAATAAACCAGTCATGAAAAGACGAAGACTGCATGATTCCACTCACACGAGGTCCTAGAGTGGTCAGATGCACAGAGGCAGAAAGTAGAAGGGTGGGTGCCAGCAGCTGTGGGACAGGGGAGTGGGGATGAGCGTTTAATGAATATAGCGTTTCCAGTTGTGCAAGATGGAAGGTTCTGGAGATGGATGATGGTGATGGCTGCACATCAATGTGAATGCACTCCGATACTTAAAAATGGTTAAGAAGATACGTTTTAGGGTTTTAGAGAAACATGCTTTCTTAACCATTTTTAAGTATCCAGCTCACTGGCACAAAGTGCATTCACAATTAGAAAAACATAAAATGTAAGCCAAATGTGATACATTTATGGGCTGAATCTGGCCCAAGGGCCGCCAGTACCTGCTGTGGACTGGAAATTCTCTAAGGTTTGTAATGTGGTGTGGGGGCTGACTGTTGCCCACCCAGCACTGACCACTGCCCCAGGATCTGTGGACATCTGAGACACCCACGGCCAACTCCATCCACCAGGCCTGACTTCCAGCCACCACCCGTTGTCTCACAGCAGCCAGGGCAGGAAAACATGCAGCTCACTGAGGTTTTCCTGTGCAGCAGCTGGCTCTTCACTACATATTCCTGGGTGGTACTGAGATTTCGCAGGTCCCTGCCAGGCCCCTGGCTGTCAGTATAAGCGGGCCTCACAGCCCTGCAGTTTACAGGGAAATGGTGTCACAGGAAGCACTCTCCTGGATCCCAGCACAGCAAGTGGGCCGTAATGCTCTTTAACCGCCCAGCGAAAGGAGCTGAAATGAGGCTGTATGCCTGGGCACTTTGGGGTGCTGTGGTCAATTGGGTGCAACTCCTGTATACAAGTTGCCTGAAGTGACATGTCTGAGAGAAGAGGATCTCTTCACTTACTCTGGAAGCAAGGAGGCTGGGACTGGAAGTCTTCTGCCTGGCCAGAGCTGGCCCCTCAGTGGAACTTACTCTGGAAGCAACTGGAAGGCTGTGCTACACCCATTTTACAGATGAGGAGGTGAGGTGGATAGAGGCCAAAGGGCAGCCTTAAAGTCAGCAGCAGTTGGAGGCAGAGTTGGTCTCTGGGTTTCCTGAGAGAGTCCTTTTTGCCTAGACTAGGGGTGCTTGGCTACTCGAGTGTTTGGCTACAGTCTCATTTGCAAATCGGATGAAATCCATGCTCCTTCTCCTTAAGAAAGAGTTCACATGCGTGCAAGTTGGGAACTCCACCTTAGCCCAAGCATCTGCAGGAGTTCTATAATATCAAAATAACTACTTCAGTGATTTTTTAAAACCCTGATCCCCTCATCACCCATCTTGGATGGAAGCTATGCGTCCTTACGGCAAGAGTGTGCGCCTGAACAACCATTAGTGAAGTACCTAAGATGGAGGAAGGCATTTCACAAACACAGCAAGGCCTCTGACGTGGGAAGAATCTACGGTGCTCAGGCACTTTCCCAGCCATTAGCTCACTTGGTTGTCAAAACTGTCAAGTAGGCATAGGACCCTCAGACAGATGAAGAAGAGGATGGTGGAAGAAGGGAGTTATTTGTGCCCAGTGACCCAGCGTCGGAGCAGCACAGCCGACAGGTCTTTGGGTCCTTGGGGCTCCAGACCCGGCTTCCTGCCACTCACCCATGCCAATAAATGTGGGCTTCTTACAGTCAACAGCCATCTCCTGGGTCCCCTGCTTGGTATCATACAGAGTAGAAATATTCCCCATTAGTGACCTGAGACAGGAAGATGGTTGCTTGGCTTATAATCTGGCTCTCTGGAAAGGATCGTGAACCATGAGCCACCTCTTCTCCGTCGGTCCATTGAGAAGGATGTAAATATTTTCCAGCTTGCTGTGTTTGCTTCTGTGCTGTCTTCCTTTCTGCAATGACAAAATCAGGGAAACTGGTTCTTAAAGGGCACATAGCAACCAGAGTGGCTTCTACATGAAGCCAACCACATGTACACACCTTTAAGTCACTGGGAGACCCACTTTAAACTCCACATGTGGTGGACTTATATCATGAGATGTCTATCATACAATTCATCAGCTGCTCTTCAGAAAAGAATCTTACCTTGTAACTAATAGGTAATGCTCTCTTTATTTGGGGTGCTTCACACCCTTGAAATGATATGGAGATTTTATGTAATTAAGCATTCATGCACATTGTGTAGAGAGGGTTTCTAGCTTTCAGGAGCTTCTCAAAGGGGCCAACGTCCAAAAGAAGGCTGAGAACAACTGGAGAAGGAGGAGACAAATTGGGCTGCTCTGGGATGTCTTCATTTTTTCCTCCAACAAAAGGTGGTGGGGCACCTGCTGCGTGGCAGGCTCTGCACTACGCACGCACGGGGGATGTCCTGCTTGCCATCCTCAGGTTACAGAGTGTGACATAGTAATCACAAAGCAAATGCACGTCCCAGGTGCTGCTGTGCAGGAGGAAGACTAACAGTGGAGGTGGGGATAGCAGGAGTTAGTGTCGGGGTGCCAGAGAAGGAGTCTGCAGCCTGTGCAAAAGCCCTGCAGAGAGAGGGAAGAAGCAGGTGAAGCCAGTGTGAATAAAACAGAGAAGCAAAGGTGATGTGGTAGATGAGCCTGTGATGGCTGGCAGCACGACAGATGCTGGCGTGGACGGAAGTTGGGGGCAGGTAAGGGCTCAAAAAATGATTTTGCAAGGGTGAAAGAAAGGAAGAAAATGAAGGAGGGTGCGGTGGCTCAAGCCTGTAATCCCAGCACTTCGGGAGGCCGAGGTGGGTGGATCACGAGGTTAAGAGATCAAGACCATCCTGATCAACATGGTGAAACCCAGTCTCTACTAAAAATACAAAAAATTAGCTGAGCATGGTGGCACGTGCCTGTAATCCCAGCTACTCAGGAGGCTGAGGCAGGAGAATTGCCTGAACCCAGGAGGCAGAGGTTGCAGTGAGCCGAGATCGTGCCATTGCACTCCAGCCTGGGTAAGAAGAGCAAAACTCCATCTCAAAAAAAAAAAAAAAAAAAAAAAAAAAAATGTAGGAGGGTGAAAGAAAGAATGTCTGGAGATGATGACATTTGAGCAGTCTTGGAGATAAACAGGAGCTTTCTGGGCAGAGGAAACAGCTTGGGCAGAAGCCAACAAGTATGGGAGAATCAAGGCTGGGAGGGGCTCAGCATGGTGTGAGTGGCGGAGAGTGGGTTTACAGAGCTTAGTTTTCCAAGAAGAGCCTTCATGGAAGCGCCAGAGATCAGAAACATATCTGAGCAATGTGACAGTGTGCAGAGAGGGACCCTAGGAAAATTAAAACCCTGTCTGTGCACAGCATCCCTTTGCAGTTCCACAGTTGCCCCATGACTGATTCCGCCAAGCCAGGCTTTGCTGCAATGCTGGGAGTCTCAGAGCTGGGCAGTGATGGCTCACACACAGCTCATGGCTGCATCCACCCCAAGGGAGTAGGTGCGGAAATCAACCGCAGCATCACCTCGTGTTTCTCTGGTCATGAAGCAAGGTCAGGTCTCACTTGCTCAGGGTATTGTTTGTGTAGGTGTCTTTAGTCTGCTTTTCAAAATGTATTTTTATCTGTCTATAGGTACACAGCTTCAGATCCTTTTTTGGGATAGGAATGAGCAAGACAAAAATAAACCAAATTTAAATCCTCAAAGCTTACAGGATCAATGGTATCCAAACTTATATATAAATCAGAATCCCTTGGAGAGCTTTGTAAGAATTCAGATTCTTAGGCTTAATCTCAGATTTATGAATTCAGTGTTCATGAGGCCGATCTCGGAAATCTGTGTTTCCAATCACCTCCCTGCTCATGCATTAAGCTGGCAGCGGGGAGTCTCATGTGTTAAGCTCATAAGTACCTGGCATCTGGGTACTGCTGCATTGAATGACACACCACTACGTGGACAAAGCAACAAGTTAAACTTGTAGTAGCTGTCACTAGAAGCAAGTGAGTGATCTCAAACACAAGAAGGCAACATTCTTTCCCTACGTTATACATGATAACACATAGATATTGCATTCACCAATAAATTAATGGAATGACTGTTTAAGAACTAATGAGTACTCACAGGGTCACTTCCAAAGCCCATGTGGGACACTAAAAGATGATAATTTCTGATAAAGTTGCATCTAAAACAATCACAGGAATTACAGATACCCAACATCTGACAATCAGCAGATGCAATAAATAGAATAGATCACTTTGCAGGGGATGGGGTAGTAGTTCATGTAATAGGCATTCTAGAACAAGACTTTAAAATATTAGTGATCATGATATTTGCATATATGTTCTATAAATGAAAAATAGAATAACTGATAGAAGACCTCTACAGGCAGGCTAAACAGTAGACGAGACATGGATGAAGGCAGATTGAGCAAATTGAAAGGCAGATCTGAGGAAATCATCCAGAATCCAGAATTCAGCCCAGAGAGATAAAGAGGTGTAAGGGGGTTGGGGGCAGGGGTGCTCTAGATTGGGTGGCTAGTAAAGATCTTTCTGAGAAGGTGACATTTGAGTTGAGACCCAAATGGCAAGGAAGATCCAGATGTAGACAGCAATAGGGCCAAAGGGCTTGGTCATAAGAGAAAGTGCAAAGGCCCTAAGGTGGGGTCAAGCTGGGCAGGAACAGGTTGGCATGTTCAAAGGACAGAAAGCAGAGGCTCCACTATATGAGAAGGTGCCGTGAGGAAGAGGAGAGTGCTCTGCATGGAGTCAATGAGTAGAATCAGCTCAGAAAGTGATGGTTAACAGGAGACATATTTCAGTTAAAGGTAGAGAAGCACTTTTTAGCAAGAAGAGCTGACCATTCACTGATTCACTCACTCATCCATTCATTCATTTGCTTGTTTATTCATTCACTCATTTATTTGCTCATTTTCAAGAACCTATTATATGCCAGGTGTTCAAGGCTATGGAGAATGTTGAGATGAATAAAACCCAGACACATGTCCTCAAGGGCCTCATATTTGAGTGAGTAAAACAGAAAAGCAAGCAAGCTATAATGCCAGAACAGAAGAAATGCGGGTTAACTGAAGTAACAGTGTGCTAAAGAGAGTCAGATAAAGGGTCTGCTTGGGAGAGCTGACTGAGATGTTATGATGGGGTACCTGCAGGAGGCTCACTGCACTGCACATGTGGGGATATCAGAGAGGGCCCCTGACTTTACCCGGTAGGCTCTGTGATGGGACAATTCTATAAAACCACAGCAGGCACTCATACGCCCTGGGGAGTTGGTGGTGACTAGGCTACAGCCTCCCTTCAGAGTCCAGTGGAGGAAGCAAATGTGTGAAGCAGACAATGCTTCACACGTCTCCAGGCAGGGAGACGACCAGGCAGTGGGGAGGGGGAAAGCCCTGGGGTATCAGAAAATGAGGGCAAAAATGGGGACACTAGTCCATGTCCTACTTAGTTCCAGACCTTTGTGAAGACAAGCTCCTCAATGTGAGAACACTGCCCAATAGGAGAGACCAATACGTACGCGAATGCCCTTGACACCATTCACCTAATCCCCAAGGTCATGCAGCCTTTTCTGGGGATGCATAGCAGACATGGGAAGGTCATACTTGGGGACCACTTTGTCACTGCCCTTTCTCTCTCTCTCTCTGATCTGTAAATCAAAGAAGAACCAGCCTGACCTACTTCACAGATTTAAAATGCCTGGAAAGTACAGAATGGGAGTTACGTACTCTGTCAGTCACTCCCGTGCATGGCCATTCTTCCAGCCCAGCCTATGAGCGCCTTTTAGCTAGACCACAGGGACAGTTTCCTAACCAGGTTCCCTGCTTCAGGCTGTCCCCACTCAATCCACTCTACGCAGCAGCCAGAACTCCTGGGAAGCTGATTACATCATCCCATTGCTTCAAACTGCTACGTGTCTTTCTCTGCTTTTAGGATGCAGCCAGGCTTCTTAGCAAGACTTACAGAATATCCTGTCATATCTAGCCCCGCCTACCTCTTCGAGTTTGTCTCTTGAAATTCAAGCCCTCCTAGTCATGCAGGGGCCACGCGACCTCCTTGCAGGCTGAGTACACTGGCCTTGACCACCAAAACCAGGGTTAGGTGCCCAGAGGGAAATAAATCATCCAGCTGTTGACTGCAACCAGATCTTTTGCCCATTTAAAAATCAGATAGCTTGTTTTTTTTGCTGTTGTTGAGTTGTTTGAGTTCCTTGTGTATTCTGTATATTAATGTCTTGTTGGATGCACAGTTTGTAAATATTTCTCCCATTCTACAGATTTGGATGTATATTTGCAACTGTACTTCCAAATCTGTAGAATGGGAGAAATGTATAATTGTTGGAAGTATAGTGTGCAAATATTTTCTCCCATTCTACAGTCTCTTCACTCTGTTGATTCTTTCCTTTGCTGTGCAGAAAGATTTTAGCTTGGTATAATCCCATTTGTATATTTTTGCTTTTGCTCCTTACACTTTTAAAGTCTTAGCTATAAAATATTTAATCCTTATGAATGTCCTCCGACCAATGTCCTTCAACCATTTCTTCTATGTTTTCTTCCAGTAGTTTCATAGTTTGGTCTTCATTTAAGTCTTTAATCCATTGCTGATTTTTGTAAGTGGTGAGAGGTAGGGGTCTAGCTTCAATCTTCTGCATGAGAATATCCAGTTTCCCGAGCACCATTTGTTGAAGAGATTGTTCTTTCCCCTATGTATTCTTGGCATCTCTGTTGAAAATCAGTTGGCTGTAGATATGTGGGTCTGTCTCTGTGTTCTGTATTCTTTTCTATTGATCTATATGTCTGTTTTTATACCAGTACATGCTGTTTTCATTACTAGTGGTTTTGTAGTATATTTTGAAGTCAGGGAGTGTGACGCCTCCCACTTTTATTTCCCTCTCAGGCTTGTGTTAGCTATTTGAGGTCTTTTATGGTTCCATGTGAATTC